AATACCAGTGCATTCGACGATACCGCCAGGAGTGGATAATCATCAGTTCCTACACCAGCAACCATGGTCATCGACTACGATAATCAACGCCACTATCTTCGGGGGAGGCACCGCATATAAGCATTTTCCCGAAGAGGCTTGCTTGGGGCACGACACCGGTTCCGGAATGGAGCGCTTACCCTGTCTGCTCTTACAGGCTTTCCTGCTGATTTCTACTCCAGACGTGCTGCCTGATGCCGCCTTTCTGTGCGGCGTCACTTCATGCTCCGTGGAAATACCAGTGCATTCGACGATACCGCCAGGAGTGGATAATCATCAGTTCCTACACCAGCAACCATGGTCATCGACTACGATAATCAACGCCACTATCTTCGGGGGAGGCACCGCATATAAGCATTTTCCCGAAGAGGCTTGCTTGGGGCACGACACCGGTTCCGGAATGGAGCGCTTACCCTGTCTGCTCTTACAGGTTAGTTATTTAGACCGCTCTTGCTGTCCCCGCAGCAGCAATCGTTGCTTTCTTATGGTGTCGTGCCCAAGTGAACTGTTCCTTATGTTTGAACGCTGTAAGAATTGGTTTCGCATGTATACCAATAGCCTGCTTTTATTGCTATCCGGTGACGTTGAATCTAATCCCGGTCCTAACACAAACGAAGTTCTAACTACCGTCCTGGCCACTGTCCAGAGGATAGATTCCAGACAAGAAGAAATACTGAATGATCTGCGCGCCCTGAAACTTTGGCAGACATCTGTTGATGACGAACTAAAGCAGATATCCTCCCGGATGCATGCCGTGGAGGTGGACGTTATGGCTTTAAAGCAAAATGATGGTTCATCGACTTCCTTGTCACAAATTTCCGGCGTCAACATATGCGAAAAAATAAAGGCTATTGAATCGCGATGTGATGATGCCGAGAACAGGTTACGACGTTCTAACCTGCTTTTCTTTGGCCTACCTGACGAACCGTCTGAGTCCTGGTTCTCATCCGAACAGAAAGTTATTCAATTATGTTCGGAGCACCTTGGCATAACACTTCAATCCTCGCAAGTTGAAAGAGCCCACAGGCTTGGAAGATACAACTCTGATAAGTGCAGACCGATCATCACAAAGTTCGCTTTCTTTAAAGACAAGCACAGCATCATGGAAATGGGCCACAAACTGAAGGGCACGCTCTTTGCCATCCGTGAGGATTTTGCTCCGCAAACACGATTTGCTAGGAAAAGTTGTTAGAATTTGGTAAAGCTAAAAACGTGCCTTTCAAGCTTTCAGTCGATAAACTGCGAATCGATAACGTTACTTACGTGTACGACGCAATCAATGACAAATAACACCTGCATCGCAATAGCTCGCGCGTAGGTCGGCTACGCACACACTTGCAAACAATTTCCTGCCACATGCTGATCCCATTCCGTACAAGAACTTCACTTTATCATACACCAACATACGCAGTATTATTTCAAAGCGTACTGAGTTGTGCTCTTATCTTGAAAACAGCAACTGCGATATCTTGCTGCTTACGGAAACTTGGCTAAACCCTAATATCTCAGATAGTGAAGTTTTGCTTGACTCATCTGATTTCCATATTTTCAGAAAAGATAGGATAGGTAGAGCTGGTGGGGGGGTACTTATTGCCATAAAAAGTCATATCACATCTTTTGTGATTGACATTCCGTCACGGTTGGAAATTGTTTGGGTGTGCTCCTCATCACATGCATCCAAAACAATTTTCGGAGTATGTTACAGGCCGCCAGATTGCTCGGAAAGTTTTGTTACAGATTTGCACGACAACTTGACAAATTTGCGCTCTAAGTTTCCTAAAGCTGACGTTTTCCTCTTGGGCGATTTCAACTACCCTGAAATTGACTGGTCCAATCTAACTTCCCTCTCACGCAATTCCAGAGAGTTCCTCGATCTAACCCTTGACTTCTCTTTTGTTCAATTAATTGACCAACCCACGCGCCAACACAACATTCTTGACCTGCTTCTATCGTCAGCTCCTGAAAAAGCTACATCAACCTTATATCTAGATGGTCTCAGTGACCACCGTCTCATTCAGGTATCTATTAGCTTACCTGCATCCAAGCCTTATGTCTCTCCAAGGCCAATACTTGATTATAAAGAGGTGATTATCAATCCATAATCAGAGTTTAGTTGACTTCTCTCACTCATTTATGGCCTCTTTCTTCAACCGCTCAGTCAACGAAAATTGGTGCCTTTATAAAGAAAAATTGTTGAGCCTGGTGCATGAACATATCCCTCGCTTGACAATTCGCGTAAATACATCTAAACCATGGTTACCCGTACACTTCGCACCCTTCGAAATAAAAAGAAGCGTCTTTTCAGTAAGGCAAAGTTATTGCAATCTTCGGTAGCATGGGCGAAGCATCGTGATTCTGATAAGGTTTATTGTCATGCTGTGCGTCAGGCGAAACACAAGTTCTTTTCACATGACCTACAGTCACTTTTAAAAAACGACCCTAAGAAATTCTGGAAATCAATCGCCCCCACACGCTCTAACACTCGTATCACGATTTTGAACAGTGCCGGTGTTACGGTCTCTCCTGAATCTTGCCCAGTGGTGTTTAATAATTACTTCACTTCAGTTTTTACGAAAGAAAATTACACTAACATGCCTCTGCCACCTACATTTCAGTATCGTTTTATGGATCCTATAGAGATTAATCCTGCAGGTATCTCTTCCCTAATTACAAATCTCAAGACGTCCACATGTTCAGGTGTCGACGGCATAAACTCTAAAATCTTAAAGCATACCGTTGTTCCGTCTAGTACCATTCTCGGTCACATCTTTCAGCAATCGTTACAAACTGGCGAGATTCCATATGACTGGAAAATCGCTAAGGTCATTCCGGTCTTCAAATCCGGGGACAAATGCCTGCCCAGTAATTATCGTCCCATATCCTTAACGAGCATCCCATGTAAGCTACTTGAGCACATTATTTCTTCACATGTTGCATCACACTTAGAACAAAACCAATACTTTTTTAAAAATCAGCACGGCTTCCGCAAAGGACTTTCCTGTGATACACAGCTTATCGAATTCACGCATGAGATCTTTAACAATATGGATGAAATTTACCAACAGACAGCATATTCATCGACTTTTCTAAGGCATTTGACCGCGTTGCACATTGTCGTTTAATAGCTAAAGTATCATCTCTGAACTTAGATTCACTTACAGTCTCTTGGATTAGGAACTTCCTGTGTTTCGCAAACAGTGTACTGTAATTGATAACATGTCTTCCCCTCTCTCGGAGGTGACATCTGGTGTCCCTCAGGGGAGCGTTATTGGCCCTTTGTTATTTTTAATTTTATCAATGATCTTCCCTCAGAAATCACGTCATCAATTCGCCTCTTCGCGGACGACTGCATAATCTATCGCAAAATCACTTCACCATCAGATCATACAGCTCTGCAGCAAGACCTTGATCGTGTAACCACATGGTGCTCAGATTGGCAAATGTCATTAAACGTTGATAAGTGCAATCAAATGACCTTCACTCGAAAGCGCTCACTCTCAACATTTCAGTATTTCCTTGATGGTAGCCCTCTAAGACCTACTTCATCTTATAAGTATCTAGGCATCCATCTGGCATCGAACCTTTCTTGGGCTAGTCATATCAACAAGATTACTGCTGACGCGTCACGAACGCTTGGTTACCTAAAACGCAACCTTCGTGATGCACCTCCTACCACACGCAAGCTCGCTTACCAAACACTCGTGCGCCCTAAACTCGAATACGCTTCTTCTATATGGTCACCTGACCAAGATTATCTATCCCGAAGCCTGGAATCGGTTCAAACCGCGCTGCTCGCTTTATCACCGGTAACTACAGCAGGCATTCTAGTGTAACTAAAATCAAGCAGTCGCTCTCTCTTTCCTCTCTCGCCTCCCGCAGAAACATTTCTCTTTTATGTCTGTTGCACAGAATCATCAACAGCAAGCACAGTTTTTCTTGCCACTTCTCAAACCTCATCGATATTCCCGTCGTTTGCAGCATAACCTCAGTTTTCAGCGTCTATACGGGCACACTAACGCCTATAATTCATCTTCATTACCACGTGCCATTGTACTCTGGAACAATCTTCCTGAAAATATAGCAAACGTGAAAGAAACCGAGATCTTTAGAGGCTTGCTTGAAAAACTGCCTCTTGAACTCTAGTTGTGTGCGCCTTACCTATTGTACTCCTGCTAGTTTCTGATTCTTAACGCGGTCGCCTCTAACACTGTAACGCTTCTTGTATTATATAGTTATGTTGTATCGTTTGGAATTGTATAACGTTATTATTTGCTATTTCTCTCATCTGTATCTTTTTTGCGCAGCCAAGTGCTTTTTGGCTTTTATTGAAAAATATTTCACAATTTTGTATTGTATACTTGCGTATTATCGTTCCGAATTATATAATGTTATTGTTTGCTGCTTCTTTCGTTCTTTTCTATTTTTACGCAGCCAGACTTTTGCATATGTATATATTTTCATCGCTCTTTGAAAATCAAAATGTACCCCCCCCTCACGCAATGTTCCCTCGTGGAACCCGTGAGGTATTTGTATAAATAAAAAAGACACTTTTCTCACTGGGCCAATGAGCTTTCTTTCCGAGAAACATGGGTGGTATTTGAGTCTTTCTGTAAGTTTTTGATGCTTTACATTTTCGTAGAGTGCGCTAATGTGACTAAGCGCAAATTCAGTGGTCGTGTTATCTCTTTTATACTGATGGGCTAGTTGGAGTGCCACTATATTGGGCGAAGCAGTGCACGATGCATGAAGTCGCGCAGACCCTTGTTAGCGTCATTTTCATGTGGGCGTGATTGCGTCCTTTTTTGTGCTTCTTCGTCAAATATTGTGCTTTCTGTCTTGTAGCTTTGTGCGAAACGTACTTTGAGGAGCGCTCGATCGCGATAGGGGAGGCCGCATAAACAAATGCCTCAAAAGACTCTGCCTGACAAAGTTTTGTGTTCTCGTTTTCTTTCTCTGTAAAGCTCGCAACTTCAATGTCGCCCAAGCAGAAGCCATGCTGCGAGAGGTGAGCATATTTTATCTGGATCGAGTACACGAGGGCAGACTGAGCGTTTCTCAGCCTGTATTTCCTGGATACCCAATTGCAGGTTTGCAGATCAATTGTAGAAAAAATACTGTGCTTAAGCCACAGCGTTAGAAATATCTTCTATGTTAAACACTAGTGAGCGAGCGAGCGAGCGAGCGAGTGAGTGAGTGAGTGAGTGAGTGAGTGAGTGAGTGAGTGAGTGAGTGAGTGAGTGAGTGAGTCCCCATGTATTCGAACAAGAGCTGAGCTTGGGAAAGTTACCAGGTGGCGAATAACGAAATTAACAGACCGAAAGTGAATGATGGCGAGAAAATTATAGTGACTATTTCACTTGTACCTAGTAAATAAAGCGAACTCTCCATTGAGTGAACTTCAAGAAAGTGACGTTAATAGTTAACTTAACTGAATGTTCACTAAGCAGAGTAATCATTAGAATACTGAAAAAAAGCCTTTTTCACGACAAAAATCAAGTTAAACGCGTCAAAAGCGATTTACTTTGATAAGAGTTCTGTACTTTTTATTTCGACTGGTGCCCTTAAATCACTCTAAGAGACAACGCTCCTGGAAAATATACGTGTGTGTGCACTGCCCGTGACACAGCTTGTTGCTGTGACACAAATTTTCGCAACTTTCTAATATATCCTAAAGCCTCGGCCAGAGATGCAGGGTTCGAACCTACTGCAGCCATTACATCTTCTTAGCCGCACTCTTTCAGTTTCTAAATATGATAGCTCCTACGCAGGTACCGAAGCGCACGTGGCTCATTTTCGTCGGCCGCACGGTGGCGCTTTACCTCGGCGGCGCTGCATGTGCAAGCCATGTTGAAATGATGATGGCTGTGTTAAAATTCTTAGACAGCACGTATAGACAGTCTACGCAGACTGCTTAGAAGACCGCACCAAGCCCGTGTTGTCCGAGAATTGGAACACGTTAAACAGCTTTTACGCGACGATGCGCCACCTCGCGTCGAGAAGAAAAAGCTAAAAGAAACAAATGTAACAGTTGTAATTTCTGGCTTATTTCGTGTTGAAATCAAAAACAAATGAACGTTACTGACATTCAGCGTCTGGGAAAGCGTCTGCTTGTGTGCAGACGACCATTCGGGCGAGATTTGATCTATCTGAGCGATTCGTTGAGCCGCCATCTTGTTTAGACAGCAAAGTAGCAAGCATCGTATTTGTCTACGATGTGGTCTTCTCGGAGCTGTTTACTTTGCCAGCTACGTTGAGAATTGGAATGGGACTTGATAGGGCCGCCGTCCATATAGCTGTCTATTTAGCCGTCTACGGTGAGTATTGGAACACAGCGGATGTGTGCGGTTTAACACCCCAAAACCACCATATGATTATGAAAGACGCCGTAGAATAGGACCACCTGCCGTTCTTGAACGTGCACCCGAACGTGAGCTCACGGGCCTACAGCATTATCGCCTCCACCGAAAATGCAGCTGGGATTCGATCCCGCAACCTGTGGTTCAGCAGCCGAGTACCTCAGCCACTAGACCGCAAGCGATCGTGCACCACCGTCGATAGATGGGTGATTTGGGTGTGGCACGCGTCGCCAACGCCAGTGCTAAAGTTCCTTCGACTGAAATATTCACTACTCAAAATACGCTTACCTCAATTTTTTTATAGAATACATTCTAAAACTGCCAGAAATGTTCTAAAGATCCGTTATTCGGAAATTTTCATTCAACCGGCATTCGTACAATCGAGAGTTCACTGTACAAGCATGAAAACAAAATTACAACAGTTGTTTATCATCAAAAGGCAATGACTGGATTATTTTGAAATTGGCCGCTAGCTATTTTTTTAAAGCTCATGTAGAGGAAGCATACCTAATAATGTATGACTGTAATATTCGTACGAAGCCATGAGAATACGGCAGGATTCATTAGAAATTATTCGTTAGACAGGGATATGATAGGATTTCATGTTTTGTGACACTTCTTCGAGCTGTTGTTTTCAATTTTCTTTTGTCGAAACAGAACCTACAATGGCGCAAACAGAATAACGTGGACACGATACTGGAAGACTACGAACCTACAGAGGTGAGTAAGCTCGCAATGACTTAGAAGTAACTAACGTAGCTGACAAGAAAACTTGCAACGTACACACGACACACGTCGCTGGTACTACTGATAATCCAATTATTTTGCTGCACAACTCAACAGCAGTATGTCAGTTCACATGTAACAAGAATGTTTTATTCATGCGCAAGAGATAGCACTGCACGATTGAACTCTGTATATAGCTCCGACTGTAATGAAAAGAAGTGCATTATAGTCGACTCGACACTGAGTCCCAGTCCCAATGTACGATGTAGGCGCGAAACTTCTAAGTTCAAGATCAGCATGTGTTACCTTGACATGCGTGTGCAGTGTAATATCGTTGATACGCTTTTTTTTTCACTGTAACCGGAAGGTAAAACGTACATTGCGAAAATTGTATTAACCAGCAATGTTGAAAGGGAAGAAAATACGTACGCTTCATCAGTTACAACTCGCTTTTATTGAGCGCCAATGAAGTAGCTGGTTAATTTGCGCGGCACCATCTTCTTTTCACCGTGCGATGCCCCAGACGCAGAGACGAACAGAAGTAGAAGAGCATTTGTCTCTTCTACAGCCTTTTTTGGTAGCGTCCTTTTCGCAGAGAAACGGATGCTGTCGCGGCCTCGGCGGCTATGCAACATGCAAATTGCGGATTGTTGGAATGTGGTTTGAGATAGTATAACCATGAATAAACAGGATGTTAAGATATATTGATCAAAATACACTTTTAATGTCAAGTTATGTATTTTTTGGAAAAAAAATGTGATCGTGTTAAACGCATGAAAATGCACTACTTCTAAGTGGCGTTGGCAAGAAGCAAAAACGCATTGTGCAGAATCTTATCAATGAGATTATGTGTACACTAGACCCGATACGTTTAGATTGCTTCTAGTATTATCAGTAGTAGGCATGTTGGTTTGTCACGCAGGCTATGTGAATGCTTTAGGTGGGAACTGGCTTATTATACCTGCTGTTTGAACAGTATACAGCGTCAACTATGTTTTCGCAATCTCGTAAATATATGTCTATATAGTAATCAAATGTCACGATGTCATGTCGAATCGTTATTGACGTCTATACTGTCTATGATAAAGTAATTGTTTTTCTAAGCCCACGGGTTTCCTGTGACACCATATTACAGATTTGCTGCAGTTTCACAAAGTACGGGTGTGGACGAGCCTAAGTTTCAGGCTGTTTTGCGAGACACAGATGAGGAGTGTTCACCAATGTGCATGTTTATCACAGCGTTGTTTACTCGCTGATATGGTTTTGTTTGCCAAACGCCAACTTGTGTGAATGTAACTTACAAAGCCTGCGATCGCTTAATATTGTGCAAATTAATTTATAGATATGATCACCATTCATGCACGCGTTTACTGTCAGCTGTAACTTTCTTCGTTCTCCTTCCTGGCTTACATCATTCAAGCATTTGTTTAACGAATACTGATTTGTACTTGTTAATACAACTATATGGTAACCTGATAGCATATTGAGATTGTTAATGTTATTTTGTTTGCTTTTGGTCTCGTTCTCTCCTCAATTATTTCTCTCTTCTTTCGCTTTTGCTTATTAATTCACGCACCACTGGTTCTCTCCGACTTTATGCTTTTCTCCGTTTTTTTTGTTCTTTCTGTAACAAAAAGTGCACCATTAGTAAGGCTTAAAGTCCTATGAAACTTTAGATGTCCACGGCATTTCTTCCTCAAGGCGGTTGCCCAGACGCTTCCACAAATGGGCGTGCACTACAGACTGACGTAATGAGCCGGACAGCCAGTAACGCCACCTATAAAAAGCATTACGAAGTGCATTAGAACATAACAGAAAATTCCTCTGCGGTGCACAAGTGTGCGTTTTTCATCATGGCGAACGTTTCGGCACAGGTCCTTAAAAAGTATTACCCCGGAGGTCTCGTGGGTCACGACAAAGAAGGCTGTCCACTCTGGATCATTCCTTTCGGCTACACAGACATCAAAGGTGAGTGGCGAATTTTCATCTCTGCTCTCGACTTACAGCTTCGGTGTGCCGGCCCTGTAGGCGATGTTTTATCTGAAAGCATCATCGTCAAACTTTTTTATCATCTCCAAAACTACAGCTTGTTTCGTTCCAGTTATTAGGAAATTGTATGTTGTCATTGCATGATAATGATTACAATATATGCCTGCTTTATACTTCCCTTGCTTTCAAGATAGGGATATCGTGAAATAACATTCTGACGAATGTCACGATATTATCTTCTGATATCACTATCATGGCGATAAAATTCTGACAATAATGACATTCAGTCAGAATGTTTTCGACGTCAGAATGTCAATGAGCCTGTCCTTGCGTGCTTTTTGACAAAGTCGTTACAGCCCAGACATAAAGCGCTATGGCCGTAAATTTAATATCTATTTAAAAAGTCGAGGGTCATCAATGGCATGGTCGCAGCTGCGTACCTTGTCGCTTTCATGCGCATACTTTTCGGCGCATATTCAAAAATTTTATACCCACTCTTTCTGCTTTCGGCAGTGTCATTACACTCGTACCTGCTGAAGTTACAATTGCGACATTCTTTAATAAATATGACATGCCAACTTGAACTCAATATTTTAGATGTCACATTAGACAATAAAATAACCCTGTGTCCCACATTGGTGGCGACAACATGCAAGAAGTCACAATCACGTAGAGACGTCGCCATATGACGTCATCGTGATGGCACCACTGTAACGTCATCACATGACACCAAAGGTAACCAATCGCGGAAGCAGTGCGAAAAAAAAGTGTGAACTGGAGAATGTTTTCAATGACTTCGATTCCGGAGATTGTTTATTGCGGGAAGCATTGTCGCCGAATCATTTCCCATCGGCTCTAGTAAGTGTCCATGCCGCATTCCTTCCTTTGACTGCTAACATAGAGCGGTACCACACAGCCCCATTCAGCCCCTCCAACAAATAGAGCCATGCGAGAAAGAATGTGAGATATGATGATGATCTGATATGTGAGGTTTAACGTCCCAAAACCACCATATGATTATGAGAGACGCCGTAGTGGAGGGCTCCCGAAGTTTCGACCACCTGGAGTTTTTAAGGTGCACCCAAACCTGACCACACAGCCTACAGCATTTCCGCCTCCATCGGAAATGCAGCCGCCGCAGCCGGAATTCGATCCCGTGACCTGCGGGTCATCAGCCGAGCACCTTAGCCACTAGACCACCGTAATGGGGCAACGTGAGATATATAAAGCGCGTTTGATGTGTGTCATGCAGCTGTATCGTTAGTAAGTCGGGCGCCTATCGTGGACCGAAAGGTCTTAGATTTGATTCCCGTGTACGGAACTTTTTCTCGAAGTTTTCCTTACTCACGTGTAAGCGTCCATTTTATCAAAGTTCAGTTCATGACGGAAATACTCCATTAAAATCTTGGTGGACCCCATCATGATTCACTTTCATGTTAAGAAAGGGCTCAAGGTCAGGACGTGTGCATGACGTAACTTCTTTTCCCAGTGCCATTCTTCCCGCTTAGCTTCCATGAAAGTATAAGCTCTCTGGAAGGAAATAAGAGAAGAAGCAATTAAAGTGTTAGACGAATCTCGAACTAATGTCGCGCTTGACTAATTCTAAAGAAATCGATGCATCTCCATGAGCGAACCATGACGAGAGGGAGAAGCTCTGGGTATCGTATCGGTGAGTAACCGTACATCACAAGTGTGCCCCATGAAATTCAAGTTGAATTACATCCAGTGTATATAGAAATGTAAATTTCTTTTTTTGCCTCTTTTATGCTGCTCTAGGCGTTGTCCTTAAAGGCTGGTGCACACCGGCAACTAGCAGCGGTCGCGCGACCATTTGCGACTGGTCGCGAACAGTCGCGAACGGTCGCAAACGGTCGCAAAGCGACTGCTTTGGCTAGTCGCTACCTGATTGATTTTTCAGTCGCGCGACTGCAGTCGCAAAGCTGCTAGAACCAATCAGCGATGCTCATTTTTTGTTTTTTTTTTCTATTGCGCTGTCTTCCTGTCGCCAGATACAAACGAGTGCGTTCCTCTGAGTTTGTGGCACCATGGCCACCACGGAATACTTGGCTTGGAGATGGCAGGGCGTAGCAGCTCGAGCAAAGTGTCGAATTTACGTGGCGGTATTCGTAAGAAGGTAGTAAACACCGTCAAAGTAAAGAGAAAGTAAATTGCGCACTATCTTTTTCTCCGTATTCTGAACCGTTTTATCATCTTGAACTTGATTTGTCACCGCCTTCAATGCAGTGCGTTTGGAACGCGTTTGTGCTTCATGCCTTGGCAACGACTTAAGACACCACGTTCGAGACGCGTTTGTGCTGTATTGTAGACTGTGCGAAGTCCATTTAAATTCAAGGACCGTTTCTGAATACTTACGACTCTCGGTAATACTCCTCGTCGTCTAAGCGCAGCTCGGGAGGCAGGTGGCTTGCATGGCCGGCCAACTCCCGCGAGCGAAAGGATGGTCACACCCACTACCGGCTTTTTTTCTTTGGAGGCATCTGTGATGCCAGCGCCGACATCATGGCACAGCGCATCAGCACCATGACAATGTCTTGTTCGTTCTTCGCTTGAATCGAACTTGACGCTGTTGGGAACTCTATGCGAAAACGGGCGAAAACAATAAATGCGGTGTGCCCGGTTTGCTCCGCTCACTCAGCTGGCGGTGATCAGCTGATCGGTGCCAGTCTATAGAGTTCTCGCTGATAACGAGATCCGAACGTGACTCTCCACTTTTGTGACTTCCGGTCGCTCACATGCAGCCCCTGCCGGTGTGAACATTACTCGCTTTTTGGTCGCCAGTCGCAAGTGGTCGCACGACCGCTGCTAGTCGCCGGTGTGCACCAGCCTTAACGTGCAAGGATGTTTAAGGTGGTGGTCCCACTGCAGCCGCAATCACTCCGCCTTTATGCATTGTTTGCGGATGCACTGGGCTCGCTGCGCTTCTCAAAGAAAACTGAATTGAGCTACACCAAAAGCTTATTATTCCCTCTTTTCAATGACATGTGACTTTAATGCATGGTCGGAAGCGTCAACTTGTAGCAATAAAAAGAGTGTGAACAACAAAAGCATTTTCGCTGTGCAAGCCTCCGTTGTACTGCGAGTACGGCAAAACTATTTAAAGTAAGAAATCTAAATTTGCTGTGCTTTAGACGAAGTGCCATACCCAGTATTATACATCAGGTGCAACGCTGTGAAAGCTATGCAAGAAGTTCGATCAGAAACATATGTGACTTCGGGCGTCTCGCGCTTAGCTCTCATCGTTGTAAGCGCTCGTGCGAGACGAGAACAAACGCGTCTGCAGTGTCGCGAAAGTCTACAAGTAAAACATCAGTAAATAAGAACCAAAACAAGCCGTATAACGGGGCGTTTGTTTAGAAAAAGCGGTAAACGATTTAGAGTACTTGGTACTCTACTATGGGAGAGCAAAAAGCTGTCACGTTGCCGAGGAAACAATATAACTGCAATGTGAGCGTTACATTCCAATCAACATTGCATGCGCATGCATGCGCTCTTTAGGGGCGAAGCTCCTTGAAGCGGCACCCGTTCGTCCTTCGTCGTAGTCGTAGTGCATAACCAGTCTTACGTTTTGACCTGCAGGGTGGTGCCGGTGGGAGATATCTCCAGTGCGTTATTGAACAATAAAAAAAATCGAAGCGTGCGCGTTAACTGAAAGCCGAATTTTCCTGTCTCTCATTCCCCATTAGTAGCCCTTGGCATATACATTGATCACTATCTGACAAAAAAGGGTTGCTACGTTATACTCGCTGGGCGTAACCTCCTTGGTTTTAGAAAGGTTTAGCGAGCGTTGCGCCGCAGTGTCATGAATTAAGTGAACTAGTATATACCATGAACTCGAAGTGGTTAAAGGCGGGAAGTGGACCCGAAGCGCAAGCCGTAAGAAAGTGTGCGTGTGCCACCTCTTGTTTAGTCCTTGGAATGTACGCTGGATGTCGGTGCTTCTATATAGGGAATATATGATGAAAAGATGCGAGATGGTGGTACCTGGTGTGTTGAATAGATGGATAAACGGGCACATAGACAGATGCATGGATAGACGCCTGAACGGACGCAGGGGCGGATGCATGGACGAACGCAGGGGTGGATGCATGGAAGAACGCAGGGACGGAAGCACGGATGGACGTACGGACGCATGCGGAATATATAATTGGGCCCTTCATGATGCGCTCGCGGCGGTTTTGCTAGCTCCACATATACCAAATTTGGTGTTACGCGACGTCAATGAATGACGAAATATATGACTGGTGTAAACATGGTGGACGCATGCACGGACGGGCGGATGAATGGTCACACTCTTAAAAAAAAAATGGAGTGACGTACTCTCCATTTAGGGAGGAACGGCGATGTCCCCAATGTTCGTCTTCAAATAGAGAAACGTTGCTCCCTCATCCACGGAGAAACACGTTCCTCCTTATGAAAATCAACATGGCTGCCCCCCGGCGAAGCGAGTAGGCTTAGCAAATGCAACGATTCTCGACTGGTAAGGAGTACACGGCACTGAAAGTTACAAAAAACGGTCCCGCTGAGCTTGATATTGAACGAAATTATTATAAAAACAAGCAGACGAACCTGTGGCGGTGAACACATCGCGAAAGAGAACGATGGAGCAAGTACGTTTCGTTCGGTCAGCGAAGCCACGTTCACTCCGAAAGACACGGTTTCTGCAGAGCCCTCACCTGAAGAGTGCATGCTAGGCTTGCTGTATTTATTTCTCGCAGATTCACATAGTGTAGCGACGTTATCCATGCGCTTACGGGTCCGCAGGTCACGAGATGTGCCTCCAAACCGTACACTCGATCGCAGCGAAACCATTCCGAATCCGTAGTGCAGCTTTGATAGATAGATGTTCAACGATATATAAATGGCTGGAGGTGTGAGAGCGTCAAAGCAATGAAGTAGGTGGTAGGTGGCGCCATCTGAAGGGATTGATCAAAGTTAAAAAAAAGTTGACTGCCGCGACG